GAGCGGGGGACAAGTGTGAGGATGGTCACAAGCAGCGGCTGCTGCTGCAGGAACCCTGTACCAGCTGTGGACATGGGGGTGCTGGAGCCTGGCACGGGCTGGTCCACAAATTGCTTTGCTCCCCACGATGCTTCTTGTCTTTGCCTGCTTCCTTCATCCCCAAAAGCAGGAGGTACTACTTCCTCCCTGATGAGGAGTAGAAAAGGGGTTGTGGGAGAGCTAATTCCATGTCTGTGGGCCCACAGCTTTTCATTTTGGATCCATGGACGTGGAATTAAATGAAGATGTCTAATGTGCAAGAGGCATTCTTAATGCTAACCCTTGTTTCCAGTCTGACCTGTGTTATCTCATCCAAAGCTGGGTTGAGTCTCTTCTGCCTTTTGTATTAGCAAAACTAACCCTAGTTCTGGAAAGCCGTGAGGGGCGGCTGCCGAGCGCTGGAGCTGCAGAGTCTGGGGCTGTGCTGGGTCCCAGGAGGTGGGTCGCAGGAGGGGCCTGCACAGAGGCAAAGACAGCAGACAGGGGAAGGATGTAGCTCCAGGTACGGGGTTTCCCTGGGGTGGGATCTGTCGGTGGCAGATTGAGTCCTGATGCGATGGGAGATGGTCCTGGGCTGGGTGCTGCTCTGGGTGCAGGGCATCCACGTCACCCCGTGCCTCAGTTTCCTCACAGGGAACAGGGGCTACACCCCGGCTTTGTCAAGAGTGTGAGTGGTTAGGATGTTACCCATATCCCAAATCTCATTTAAGAGGGAAATGCTATTTGGAGGTGGAGAGAAAAACTCCTCTTGCAGGTTCAGCATTCAGTTGATAGCAGCGCAGCCTGTGTCTTCTGAGCCAGCAATCCTGTGTGATTCCTTAGTAGCTTGCTGTCAGACTAATAATATCTCCTAAAATCCTTTCATCTCTGAAATCTTGTTGGCTTTTTGGCCTTCCCTCAATTTGGATGGTAAAATGACACTGTTCTGTGTCACTTGAAAAATGTCACATTGGTTTCATGAGCTCTGGCTGGCTGCTTTCAGGAAGTTTTCCTTTTTGGAGATGCCTTTTTGGGAGCATCAGTGTGTGTGTTGCAGCAAGAAACTTACATTAAACCATCTAAACAAAACCCACTCATTCTGAAGTGGCTTTTTACTGCAAAGCCGTGGCTGCTTGTACCAACTTAGGCAAAACTTGTCCAAACTACATTTCTAGTCCCAAAACAAAGGGAAGCTGCACGTTTCTCTCGCACAATCTCTTGACCACGATACCCAGAGGCAGCAGCTCTGCAGGCTCCGTGCTCTGCTCCCTTCAACAGTGCCCTGGCTTCAGTCCCCAGCCCCTGGAGAGAGGGGAAGGGGCACAGATGAACAGCGGCATAACTGAGAGCGGGGCTGCCGGGGGCTTTTCTTTCCTCCTCTCCACCAGTTGCCTGTCCCTGACACGGAGGCTCGGGGAGCCAAAGGAGGCACTGACATGGAGAAAAGCTGTGCCAGGTGCCACAGGCTTGTTGCTTGGGGAATTCACCCCGTCCTCCCCCCTGCAAGGTCTGCACCGGGGAGCAGATTGTGTAACACCCCACGCTGCTTCGGCTCATTACAGACAGTTGTTCTCACCCGTGATGTCTCCTCTGCACAAAAGGAGCTTGTTACCAGGGGATCAGTTTTAAACCAGCTCTGGGAGGACACGAGAGGCCCGGGGAGCCGCTCATCACCCTGTGTTCTGCAGGTACCCGGGGCAGAGGCTGGGTTTGATGCAGGGCTTTTTGGGGCTGTTGTCATGCTGGCCTTTTTGGTGCTGGTGGCTGAGGGAGGCCACTGGCTCGAGGCTTTGTCACAGCTTTCCCTCTGTGCCTCGGAAGCTAATCCGGGCTGTCACATGGTGCTGGAGCACGGCCATTCCCGCTGGCCTCGGCCACCGCGGGCAGGGCTGTATCCCTGCACGCACGAGCGCGGGAGGTGAAACCCGCCGCGATTCCAGAACCAAGAAGGTGATTTTGGGGAGGTGGTTTTCCCTTGTTGCTTCGCCGCGGACCTGCTGGCGGGCAGCACGTCCCTGTGAGGGTCGGGAAGGGAAACAGGAAAAGCAGCCTTTAAAAATAGCAACTGCTTGAAATAGGTCTCATGTCAGAGAGTTTGGCCTCTTCTGTCTGACAGTTCGCTTTGGTGCAGGGATGCTTGGGTTGCTCCAGGACCCGGGCCTGGCAAGTGGAATCTCCTCTTCCTCCTGGTTGTTTTTCCAAAGCTCGTGGGTTTCTATCGCCTTTGCGGTGCTGTGGAGGGCAGCGACCCCACACCTGCCTGTTGCACAGCTCCTCTTCTTCTAAAAGGTAGAGAAACCTGAACGTGTTCGTGCTCTGAGGTCGACCTTTGCTTGTCTCCCAGTGGTTTGTTTCGATGGCAAATCCTGTGTGCTTTTGCAGGCAAGAAATACTACTCTTGCCCCATCTCGCCTGTTCATGCCATCTTCCTCTTTGACTCCAGCGGAGGTTGAAGTGCCAGCAAACACCCACCCTGTGCACTTGTGGCCCTGGTGCTGCCCGCAGGGCCCGGGGCTGGGCAGACACTTGGGTAGGAAGTCACCCATGTGCATTTTAAATGGCAGGGCTGTCATGGAGCAGCAGATTGCTCAGTGGCCCACAGACCCCTCACTGCACCCGGTGGAGATCCCCTTGGGGTGACCTATGGTGAGAGTTAAAAATAAAGCTAGACTAAGCCTCCTTAACTAAGCTGTCTTGTCAGGAAAACCACCAGGGTCTTTACAGCCCTGCTAAGCCTGAGAATAGCTGAATTGGGCATATAAGGGGGTTTGCCAGGTACAGAATAAGACCAAACCATGTACAAGAGCAGTCCCCTGCTGGCAGGTCTGCTCCCCTGGACAGACGTGTCCAGCTGCTCTTGTGGCATTCCCTGTCCTCCTGCCTCCTTTGCCTGGTTATCCTTATAAATCAGAGTCTTTCTGCTGTCTTAAGCCACATGCCCTGGCTGCAGCTTAATCCTGGGATTTCTTACCCAGCCTGCAGCAACAGGAGGAACATTATTCCCTTTGTCTCTGCCGCAGCCATGTTTTGAAACCTGTTGCTATGTCTCTCAGCCTCCCCTGTTTCTCCATCCTTTGCTCCACAGCCCACGTGTTTGAGGGCTCTTATCTGAGCCTCCTTGTTACTGTCTGGACCCTTTCCTTGTGAGCGGGGCTGGCCTTGGAATGGCCTTGCTGCTGCGGTGGGGAAGGACAGTTCCTGCGTCATGTTGGGTGCCTCTGACAGCGTGTTCCCTTTGTGAGGAAGAGTTTGCTCTTTCTGCAGCCCTCCTGAGTTCTCTCCAGCTGGTGCTTTGCTGCAACCTGCTGATCCTCTGCTGCAGAACTGCTGCCCTTCCTCAGCTTGTACGTACGTGGGGACCGGCTCCAGCCTTGGAGCAGAGCTTCTCGCAGGGCTGCATCCCGTGGTCCTGGACATCTCTCACAGGGTGCCGGGATCCTTCTGAACTTCCTGCCATCCTGGCTGGGAATCAGAACATTACACAGAAACAAACAAAGTGAGAAAGGCCAAGAAGGGAAGTGATTTGTCTGAGGGGCTTGAGGCTGGGTTCAGAGGGAAGGCAGCGCAGGGGGTTTGTGCTTAGCATGGGGCTCAGGAGAAGCAAGTTCCCATCCATGTCTCTGCTGGCTTTGTCCGTGTGCCCACCTCACAGTGCTAATGCTCCTCTCCTTGTCCTGTTGCAGACTCTGCCATATTCCTCACCATGGGTGACATGAAAACCCCAGATTTCGATGACCTTCTGGCAGCTTTTGATATTCCTGACATCGACACGAACGAGGCCATCCATTCTGGCCATGAGGAAGCTGACGCTCACATCAAGCAAGTCCCTGGAGAGCCAGGACCCCCTGACCACGTCCTGCCCCACACAGACATCACTGCTGTCAGTGTGATTGTAAAGAATACGGTCTGCCCCGAGCAGCTCGATGCCCTGGACGGGCGCAGCAAAGATGGGCACGTCATCGGCTCCCGCTTGCTGCAGAACGGCTTTGGGGCCACCGAGATGCCCAGGTCCCCCACCTCCAGGGCTGTGGAAGCTGTAGCATCCTCCAACGGGGAGTGCTGGGTGAAGGAAAAAGGTCCCAAGCCCCTGGATATCTTCTCCCATTTTAGCCCCGATCCCAATGAAGACAATGCTGCCAACCTGATTGACAGACCCCGGGAGTGTAAGGTGAAAGAGAAATCCCTTGCTGTGCCCTCCCTCTCCCCGTCTCCCACCCTGTCACTGGACTGCAAAGAGCCCATGGGAGAGAACACAGAGAACCTGCCCTCGGCCTTCCCGCAGTCCTTGGAAACCAGCCAGGCAGGGGGAGCAAACGGGTCCCCTCCTGCCATCCCCTGCATCAAGAAAGAGGAGTCTGACTCAGAGGATGTGGGCCGCGAAGCCAGCCCAAAAGGTTTAGCTGCAGCCTTGGGTGACAGTCCCTTGGAGCACCTGAAATCAGTCACCGTTCGCTACTCCACAGATGATTCTCCCATCACATCCTGGCCTGGATCTGACCCAAACCTCGACAGCAGCACCAGCAACCTTGCTGAAGTGAAACACTCGCCCGCCAGCCCCCGGGAGCCCTTCTTCAAACCTTCCTCACCGGTGGTGCAAAGCCCCAGGCTCCCCACTTCTCCAAAGCACCTGGACAACATTGCCCTCAAGGAAGAGCAAGAGGTTCTGGAGAAGTCAATGGGAAGTCCGCAGAGCATGTCCAGTGCTGAGGAAGAGGAGGAGGAAGAAGACAACAACAATGATTCCCCTTCCTCCAATTCCTCACGGCCCCTGAAAGTGCGGATTAAAACCATCAAAACATCTTGTGGCAGCATCACCAGGACAGTGACCAGGGTCTCATCAGATTCCGAGCCCGGCTCCACCAAGGGACCAGCTGAGCACAGCTCTCAGGAGACTTCTCTGGAGGGTGCCAGCTTCTCAGCATCGGCAGACAAAGAGGAAGGGATTGTGCTGGAGGTGTCCAAGGAGAAAATGGAGCTCTCCAGCCCCTTAAAAAGCATCGAGGGGCCAAAAATCGTCAGTGTTCAGCTTGGCAATGGCACCAAGCTCAAAGGGACTGTCCTGCCTGTCTCCACCATCCAGAATGCCAGCAGCGCCATGCTGATCGCCGCCAGCGTGGCTCAGCAGAAATCCGTGGTGCTGCCAGCGAAGACGGGTAAGGCTGTGGCCAAGAACATCATCAACCTGGTGCCACAGACCCTGCCCAAAGCCGACACCAGGACCAATGTCAGCACCGTGACGCAGACCACCACCATCACCACCACGGCCAACCAGAAAGTCAACGGCACCACAGTGGTGATGGTGCAGCCGCAGAAGCCTTCCCCAACCATTGCGGGCACGGTCATATCCAGGAGCCAGTCCAGCCTTGTGGAAGCCTTTAACAAGATCCTCAACAGTAAAAACCTCTTGCCAACATACAAACCCAACCTGAACCCTCCAGCCGACGCGAGCCTCACGCTGCCTCCCTTCGGTTACCGCTGCCTGGAGTGCGGGGACGCCTTCGCCCTTTCGCCACTACGACCGGCGCAGCATGCGCATCGAGGTGACCTGCAACCACTGCACCAAACGCCTCGTCTTCTTCAACAAGTGCAGTTTGCTGCTGCACGCCCGGGAGCACAAGGACAAGGGCCTGGTGATGCAGTGCTCCCATCTGGTTATGAGGCCCATCGCTTTGGATCAAATGATCGGACAGCCGGACATCACCCCCCTGGTCTCAGTGACCTCCTTCCCTGCTAGCAAAGTGACTGGGGTGGCTCAGGAGGCCTTGGCCACCGCCAACGGGGCTCAGGATCTCCCCATCCTGCCTCTGAGCAACAGCTCAGAGCAGACCAACTACAGCTGCTTCAGGTGCCTGGAGTGCAAAGAGCAATGCAAAGACAAAGCCGGGCTGGCCGCGCACTTCCAGCAGGCAGTGACCACAGGGACGAGCAGCAGCACGGTACGTAGGTGGACGGGCAGTGGGAGTTGGACAGCAGAGCCACAGCAACCCATCCCCGGGCATGTGGGTCAGAAGTGGAGGACTCCAGATGTGACGCAGGCAGCGCCTGCCTGTGCACGCCTGATTCCTCTCGATGGCAAAGTCATGCAGGAAGGACAACGCGTGAGGCAGGGTTCACTCCGTGCCCAGGAGGCGCTGGGTGGAGGGAGAGGAGGCTGTCGTCAGTTGTCAGCAGGCAATAAAGCTGCCCTGTGGGTGCAGGAGCCAGGGTGCAGCAGGGAGGGATGAGCAGGGCCCTGAGTGTTGGTGCCCTGCAGTCTGGCGCCCAGGCAGGACGTAGCCATCCCCACAGAGCCATGTTAGAGCAGTGGGTGCTGCTTCCTCTTTCGATGGCTTGAAGCACAAATGGAGCCTGGAGAAAGCAGGGAGGGGTGTGCTGGGCTTTTTTAACCCTATTTGAGAGCCAGCCTTGAGATCCCGGCTGCTTCCTGCTGCTGCCAACACATCCTGGTTTGTTAGGACAGGCAGCATGCAGCAAACACACAGGATTAATACTGCCAAGGGATGACCTTCACAAGGCAAGGAGGGAAAACAGGTCCACAGAGGAGCCCTGTCCTCCCTGTGGCACGTCTTCACCTTTCCCTTTGTCCAGAGAGGCTCAGTCCCCCTTGGCTTTCTTTGCACAGAAGGAATTTGCTGTTTCCTGGTAACACTCTTCAGGTTGCTGCTGTAGCCAGGGCGCTGTTCAAATGCAGATATTCCTGCCCTGCTGCTACAGAGGAGGCTGTTTTCTGTTTGAAGGTCATCAGGAGCACTGAGATTCACATGTTATGTAATTGTCCCAGGGAACTTTCTTTTAACAGGGGAGGATTTCTTCCTCCCATTCCCTCTGCTACCCTTGGAGTGGATGGAGTATTCAGGGGAGCACTTGAGCTTGGAAATTCAATGTGAAGTTGCTGTCAGGGCAAAACCTGTTAACAGCCTTCTCTGAGCCAGAGCAGCTTTGTCCCTGTACCCAGCAGATGGACTCCTCCCTACACCAGCACTGACTAAAAACAGCTTTTTTTTTTCCCTTTACAAAAGAACAAAAGACCCAGAGGCTTTCCTCAGCACAGGGAGGGATTGGGGTGGCTGAAGCCATGTCTCCATAAT